GAGCAAGTTTTTTATTAGGCTAAAAAAATACATGTATTAGGATATAAATGAGTGCATTCCGAAGGCTTGAATTGTCAGGTTTCCACTTTGACCCTGAGAGTCACATTTGCATTGTCCCTGTCTATAACCTCTAATGATAAAAATTCTCCTTGCTCAAACATTTAAGCTTGCTAAACAACCTTTTCCATATGGAATTTATGTTACTTTTTCAGCAAACACTCCTCCTATCCATAGTGTATTCATCACCACTGCCATTTTCTCTGTGTTTAAAATAAAAGTGATAAAATTTGGAAGGATGGCAATAAACATAAGAAAACTTTATTATTGCCATGTTAATTTAAAATGACTATAAGACTATAATTAGGTAACAGATAACAATCAGTTAAACAAGTTTTCTGTTAAACAGCAAATGAGTTGTATTTGTAATAGAATGTTTCAAATTTTTTTAAAAATTTTTATTTGAAAGTCAAAAATACACACACACACACACAGAGAGAGAGAGAGAGAGAGAAATCTATCAATTTTCCATCCACTAGTTCACTCCCCAAATGGTTGCCGTGGCAAGGGCTGGGCCAGGCCAAAGCCAAGAACCTGGAGCTGCTTCCAAATTTCCCATGTGGGTGCAGGGACCTAAGCACTTGGGCCATCTTCTAATGCTTTCCCAGGTGCATTAGCAGGGAGCTGGATCAGAAGTGGAACAGCCAGTACTTCAACCAGTGCCTGTATAGGATGCTTGCACTATAGGTGGGGGCTTGGCATTCTATGCCACAGCACCCGCCCCAGATTTTTTCTTCTAAACGTAGAACATAGAATATTGCTTTTCATCGATCATAGTTATCTCTTTCCTCACTCCCTCTCTCAGTATTTTCACCCAGATGTGTGGAATAAACAATTCTGTGAAAGAGAAAATATACTGCAATTTTCAAAACTTTACTCACATTTTGTGTCAGTACCCATTTCCCCAGGACTCCTGGGGAGCTACTTTACATTCAGGGGCAGAATTAATTGAAATCCCAGGGGCCGACTCTGTGGTATAGCAGGTAAAGCTGCTGCCTGAAGTGCTGGCATCCCATATGGGCGCTGGTTCGAGTCCCGGCTGCTCCACTTCTGATCCAGCTCTCTGCTATGGCCTGGGAGAGCAGTGGAAGATGGCTCAAGTCCTTGGGCCCCTGCACCCACGTGGGAGACCTGGAAGAAGCTCCTGGCTCCTGGCTTTGGGTTGGCACAGCTCCAGCCGTTGCGGTCATCTGGGGAGTGAACCAGTGGATAGAAGACCTCCCCTCCCCACCCTACCCCTGTCTCTTCTTGTCTCTCTGTGTAACACTGACTTTCAAGTAAATAAATACATCTTTTAAAAAAAAACCCAGTCTCATCTTAATAATTTCTGCCTTTGTTAGATGGATGGTTCCTGTTTAAGGTAAGTTTGAGCTTGGAGAAAGTCTGCTTGTTGTGCAGTGAATGAAAGAACTAGACATTGAGGAAGAGAGAAGCTAGGTTTCATGGAGGTTATTTAGACTTCCCCTGTCTTACAGTGCTGTGGCTTAGCTCTGGCTCCTGCAGGCAAGGCAGCTGGTGGCGTTGGCCCAGGGGATACTAGGCTGGCTCCCCTCCCTCACTCCGGCTGCAGCCAGTGGCCACTCACAGAAAGCCTGGGATGTGTATGAGAAGTCTGGATTAGGATGGTTTGATGCTCTCCACTGAGGATGCTTTCAGCATAAAGCTCCCAACTGAAAGCAGCTTAAATCATGGGAATTGCAAGTTCGTAGTTCAAGAAAATTCAAGGTAGGGACATCCTGAGGGTGACTTCAGCATTACAGTTCTGAGTTGGCTAGTTTTGGATTTCCTCTCGTGGTCTTAAATGGCTGTTCCAAGCATCATCTCAGTACCCCAGGGAGAGGGTCAGGCACCTTCTGTTGTACTAGTGTGTCATGTGACCATGTCTAAACAAATCACCAGCCAGGGAAGTGACCTCACCATGGCCAGGTTAGACTAATCAGTTTCACATCTTTACATTGCCACATGAATCTGAACAAAATTCATTTTCTGGTTTGCAAAGGAAAAGGAAGGAGTGGCTGTCGCCGAGGGAACCGGAGGTGCATGCTGCAGTGTGATTCCTACCACCTTACTCAGTACTAAGTCCCATATCCCATTCTGGCCCTAATGGGGGCATCCGATCTGCAGCACTCGGTTCCTAGAAATGCTGTTTGTGCTAGTAAAAGTAGGTTGAGCCTTGATGTGAGGCCTGCTGGGTGAACTCCCATTCCAGCCCTTCCTCTAAACTGGCCTTTTCCCCTGATTCCCAGACAGGTCCCTGGAGCCTTGCAACTTACCTTGGTTTTGTAACTCACCAGCGCCTCTGTGTGGTGAACCCCACTAGCAAGGCAGGTAGGCCCGAGGCCTTCCCATTTCAATCCCTCCATCTCAAGTAAACAGAACAGACCCCGGCAGCACTGGCAAGCTTTCAGGGATCTAGCCTTCTGGAAGTACTCTCCTTCTTCCCTACAAAGGAGCCCCATCAGTCTGAGCAGTCTCCCCTCAGCTGTGCCCAGGAGGGAGGAAGACTGATCAGCCGGTTTTGCACCTTGCTCTGCCTGCTCTGCATTCAGCCCCTCTCTGCTGACCCTGGGCATGGCCTTGACAAGCAGCTCACTGTATGCAAGTAGTGGACAGGTTAAAGCAGCAGTTCTTGGTCACATCTGTATTTAGAAGTTCACTTGAAGCCCACTGAATTTAAAAGCAACTTTGCAGATTACCAGCTGAGGCTTCTGGCTGCTATTTCTTTTTTTTAACTTCTATTTAATGAATATAAATTTCCAAAGTACAGCTTGTGGATTACAGTGGCTTCCCCCCCCATACCTTCCCTCCCACCCGCAACCCTCCCCTTTCCCACTCCTTCTCCCCTTCCATTCACATCAAGATTCATTTTCATTTCTCTTATATACAGAAGATCAGTTTAGTATATATTAAGTAAAGATTTCAACAGTTTGCACCCGCATAGAAACACAAAGTGAAAAATACTGTTTCAGTACTAGTTATAGCATTAAATCACAATGTACAGCACATTAAGGACAGAGATCCTACATGAGGAGTAAGTGCACAGTGACTCCTGTTGTTGACTTAACAATTTGACATTCTTGTTTATGGCATCAGTAATCTCCCTAGGCTCCAGTCATGAGTCGCCAAGGCTATGGAAGCCTTTTGAGTTCACCGACTCTGATCATATTTAGACAAGGTCGTAGTCAAAGTGGAAGTTCTCTCCTCCCTTCAGAAAAAGGTACCTCCTTTGATGACCCGTTCTTTCCACTGGGATCTCACTTGCAGAGATCTTTCATTTAGGTCATTTTTTTTTTTTTTTTTGTTTTTTCAGAGTGTCTTAGGGCATTCAGATCCAGCTGGAAAGCCAGCTGCTATTTCAGTCTCCTCTGGGAAGTCGCTTTAGGAGAGCCACCTTCCATGTGTACCTTTCTGTGGTGTTTGCTTGCTTTCACTCCCTGCACTTAATGTGCACCAGAGTTTGCTCTGTATTAAATCACATCCCCATGACCTGGCAGATAGGCGTTGAGACGGTTTTTTGACTATGGTGGGCTTAAGAAGATCCATTTTTATTTTAAGTTTGCAAGGGCTAACAGTGAATGGCTGTGGTAAGAATTGTGGCTTTTTGAATTGCTTTGGCCAAGAAGAGAATTCTAGGGTGCCTTGGAGTCACAAGGTTATGATACCATTTCCCTAGCTGAGCCAAGGCCTCAGCTACTGGCAGCAGCTGGATGGAGCTTGTTTTCCTGGTTGTTTTACAGTTTTAAAATTGAATTTCACTGTGAGTTTGTTTCTGTACAGTACTTGCCAAATTTAGACACATGTAACAATTATTTTAGACACATGTAACAATTATGATCTTTCTGTAAAAATATTTGTGCTATTAATTTTATGGACTTGTCTGACATTTTTATAGGAAATAAGAGCCACCATGTAATTTACCTAATTTAGGAACATGCAAACTTGATAATATTTTTAACTTAGCTTTAGGGATAAACTCAAGAAATGAATTCTGACTTTGTTTTTCATCTTGCCCCTATAAGTCACCCATGTTTATCATATGTAAGCAGATTTTTTGTGTGTAACTTTATTAGCATTATGAATTTTGCATAAATTAAGTAGCAAAGCCTTGTAGCTGTGATGAACACTATACACATGTAAACACATTATATGCATGTGAACACAATACAAATGGGAACATACGATACACATGTGAACACACGTACATACTCTGAATTTCTGAAGTAATATAACCACCAGTTTAACTGGAAAGTTTGCAAAGTGAACCCAGAAATTATTGTCTTTAAACCCATACAAGTTTTATTCAATTTACTAATATTTTGATTTCTCAGACAAGAACTATTGTTCAACTATTATAATTGAGTTACCTTGATCACTGTGTTGTTTATCTTAAAAATCAATGCACAACAATATTGACTAAAAATTTTTAGAATTCAGTGAGATGGAGTGAGTGTTTGGCCTAACAGTTAAGATGCCTGTTAAGGTGCTTGCAACCCGTATTGGAGTGCCTGAGTTCAAGTCCCAGCTCCAGTCCTGATCCCGTCTTCCTATTCATGCACACTCTGGGAGGCAGGCATTGATGGCTCAAGTAGCTGGGTCCCTGCCAGTCATGTGGGAGACCTGGACTGAGTTCCTGGTCTCAATTAGAATGGCAGACACTGGGCTGGGACTGAGAGACAGAGCCTCTTAGATAAATAAATTAAAATGGAAGAATTTAATGAGATCTTCACCTAAGCTGTTTTGGAAGCTGTTTTATTGAAGTACAGAAATTATTATGTAAACACCCTTTGACTTCAGAATGAATTGGAGTTTCCATCAGATAATTTGTTCATGAAGAATTATACTGTAGAAAAAAATGACTCTGTAAATTTTTAAGAAGCAATAAAACCAGATTTTATTGTTACGTTATTTTCTTTTGACTGACTCAGTATTCTGTGTTGTTGCAGAAAGGCATTCACGAGTGGAACTTCAGTGCTGCTTCTGTCAGGGGAGTGAGGTACGTCCCTTGGTACATTTTGTCTATTTAGAAGACAGTTTTTCTGGTATATGCATGACCTGGATGAGACTTCCAGTTGTGATTTTAAAAGGGAACAGATTTCAAGAATTCTTTCATTGGTGGATATGCCCAGCATTTCTTCAGTCTCAAAACTGACTCGATGGTGAGAAGATTTGCAACAAGTTGTCCACTGTCGGCTGAACTGACTCTATGTAAAATATAGTGAGTAGGAGATGAACATGAACTTCAGACCAGAATCAAGATATAGATAGAAGGGAGCGATGTGGGAGTCCTTTCCAGCTGACTGAGCTGTTGGTCTTTGTTATAGGATGGCTTTCTCTCCTTTTGATACATCGGGAGCTACTCTTTTCCTTGAATAAATATAAGGCACACATGTTATCTCCCATATTGTGTCCTATACTAATTCTATGAGATTGTATGGCATCTGTTTTTTAAAATGTTTCCTATGGTCACTGTTGATGGAGTATTCTTGAGGTCACAGTGGCATAATTCAGTTCAATTTAATTTTGATATTGTTTTCTACCAATGGATCAGAAAATATCATTTCTTGGAATGTGAAAATATGATTATTTTTTACAATCAGAAGTCACTGGTTAAGTGTTGAAATATTTGTTCTGTAGAAGCTTGTGCTAAACCAACTCTAAAATTTCAAGACAAATTAATTGTATTTACTAATGTTTGTCCCCACCTAATAGGAGTGAGAAACAGCAGACTTAGGCAAAGCAGTTAGGCAATATCCTATCCCTTCTAGAATAGTAATAGTTAGTTTTGTTAGGGCACAAACTGGTAGAACAGTCTGAGTCACCAGTAATTAAAACTTGCCTAGTAAAAGCAACCTGTTACCTCCTGAATGATTGGAACAGAAACAAGCAAGATTATAGACTGACTCATTTGATATCTTGCCAATCAATACCATCTCAAATAATGCTTTACTCGCTCAATATTTAATTTTTAAAACCAGTCATTAGCAAAAACTCATTATCTATTGCTGCAGTTTTAAGCATTATATTTAGGAAATTACAGCATTGTAAATTTCACTTTATCAGGTCTATTTTCCAATGAACTAATTCTCTTTAAATAGGCATGGTAGCCCTACATGACAGTTACGATCTGTGTGATATTCATGGAATGCCTCCACCTTGCCACTGTGTTTATATGGGGAAACTTGTGCTTTAGTCTGTGGCTTCAAGGAGAGTTAACTTTTCCTGGCTTCCTCCACTGTAAAGAGGAGATGACAGATTAATGGAAGAACATCCAACTGGGTCATCCATTTGTCTTGCATCACTGCAGAATGAGCTCAGCTCAAGTGAATGGGCATTTATTGAGCACTAGCTGTTTGTCAAGTGTTGAGTCCTTTTCTTCTTCAGGCACAAAAAATGACTAAATCATGAACTTCAGTCTTGAAGAACTCACAGTCCAGTAGGGAGGGGATCGGACATTTAACATGGAGTGGCAACTAATGACGATCATCCTGTGAGATGAGATGAACCATGATAAAGTACAGAGCACACAAGTACAAGAGGAAATCACTCTGTTTAGGGCAGAAGTAGAACAGGCAAGGTCTAGGCAGGGCCTTAAAGGATCAGAATTTATTTTAAAAGTAGAAAGTGATGTGCATTTTAAATGGAAGGAACAACTGGTACAAAGGCATAAAATAAGAATTGGCAAACTTTGGACACAGGTCAAATCTGCCCTACTTCCTGTTCTTGTAAAGTTTTTTTAAAAAAGATTTATTTACTTATTTGAAAGGTAGAGTTTTACAGGGAGAGGGAGAGAGATCTTCCATCTACTGGTTCACTCCCCCAAATAACCACAGCAACCAAAGCTAGGCCAATTGGAAGCCAGAAACTTCTTCCAGGTCTTCCATGTGGGTGTAGGGGCCCAAGGACTTGGCCATCTTCCATTACTTTCCAAGGCACATTAGCAGAGAGCTGGGAAGTGTAGCAGCCGGGACCCAAACCAACACCCATATGAGATGCTGGCATTGCAGGCCATGGCTTTGCTTGCCATGCCACAACGCTGGCCCTGTAGGTAAAGTTTCATTGGAATACAGCTTGTTCATATATTTATGCGTTTATCTAAAGCTGCTTTCATGTTCCTCTGGCAGAATTGAGTAGTTGGGCCTGCAAACGAAAACTATTTTAACTGTTTGGCTTGATAAAGAAAATGTTTGCCAACCTCTGGCATAAAAGAACATGGTGGAACTGGTCTACTCAAAATTCTCCCATGTTGCTATAAAGTAAGACATTTGCTAAATCGAAACTAAGTACTCTTCCACATTTGTTCACTTCTCTAAAATCACTTCAGCTAATGAGGTGCTCTTACTGCCTCCACAAATTGCCTTCCTAGCTTCAGGAACACTGCTGTTGTACAGATCCCAGAAGAACAGCCTCACTAAAGGCAGTCAGCCAGTCCGTACTGATGCTTTTCTTGCCATCTTACAGATTAATGCTGCAGTAGGCAACATAGCTCTTCCATGCTCAGTGAAGAGACATGTAGATTACATGTGCTTATGACTTTCCAGGCAGCCCTCCTCTGCAGATAAGAGTAGGAGGACAATTCTCAGAACAGTAAGTAGTTTTAGTATTGTTGTACAGGGAAAGTCACTTATTTATAACTTTTTGTTGTAAACAATATTGACATCATCACTGAGATTTGTTCTAAAGATATTACTGATCCAAGGAAGTATTGCTATTTCCCTAAATAATGCTTTTGTTTGTTTGTTTTAGTATTTCTAAATTTGAAGAACGATGCTGCTTTCTGTATGTGCTTCACAATTCTGATGATTTCCAAATCTATTTCTGTACAGAGCTTCACTGTAAAAAGTACGTATAAGTCATTATGTGTGAAAACACTGTTCTAACTTGACCATTATTTTCAGGGAATGTGTGGACATGTAACTTCTATAAAAATTTATGGCTATGTGATGGTTACACAAATATTTGGGCTAATATAGTTATGTGATATGGTATGAAATCAGAGAATTTTGGGGGGTTCTCTAATAGATCACTTTTTTCTTCATCATAATTTATTTTTAAAACATTGACCAAGACTTACTAGCTAATTAATTATTAAATGTTTAAATATTTAAAGTGCTCACATTAAATGATTATGAAAATATTTTTTCTAGAAGTGTCTTGAATAATTCAAGCGTTGTCTTAGAACAGTGACTCTTACCTCTACCTCATAATTGAATCACCTGGTGAGCTTGAACAGCATACCTGGGCCTCATCCCTCACTAGTAGTATTGGACTTTGATAGGGAATTAAGAGCTAGTGATCTGAGGCACACCAATAAAATAGATAATCCAGAAATGCACGAAGTGCATTGAGTGTTTGTATTAATAACCTCCCTAGGTATGTTTTTCTTGGGCCCATCATTAAATACTTTGGATTCCCTTAGAACTCAGTGATTGGAAGGAGCTGAAGAAGCAAGTAAGAACTTAAAAGCCAAAATGTAGGTAGAACTTCACATTTTGCTGATGCTTGTTCTTACTGAATTTAGTCATTATCTGACTCCAGTATAAATGACTGATAGGCTAGCTACAGGCTGTCATCATTCATTCTTACCATGTTGCCAAAAAATGTGTCTGTTTAATCCCCAAGTCTTGGCTTATCTTGGTTTTATCTTTTAAAAAAAAAATGTGTGGTAGAAATTAAGAATTAACAGCTTCTGGTTGCTCTAATTTTTTACGTAAATTCTCAAGTTTTGTGATTTGTTTCTATAATAATTATAGCTAACATAATATATATGATAATTATAGCTAAGATTTATGGAGTGCTTATTCTAGATCTAACATCTATTTTGTTCTGCAAAGAAACCTTACTGAATAGGTAGGTTTAATATCTTCATTGAGAAGAGTTCAAAAAAAATCTTAAGAGAATTTAGCCTAAAATCATGTGGGTAGTAAGTGCATAAAGTCTGAGATTTCGGTCACACACACATGACTCCAGAATCCAAGGTCCTAGAAATTGCACTGGGCTCCAGTGTTTTCTTCTGCCTGGAGATGTTTCTGTAGACCATTTCTGCATTAGTGGTTGAAGTTAGTCTTCACCCCAGATCTTAGAGCATGTCTTTGAAGCCATTTATTTATATTTTTTACTCATTTCACCTTCCTCTTCCTCTTGATTGGACTTGCTTTTGCCTGTAACACATCATGACATTCAGTCTTCTTCATCAGAGCATCCTGTTTCTCCAGTCAAGCTTAGGAAATAGTTTTTCTTGTCATTGACCTCCAAGAAATATGTAAAGGGAAAAGAAGAATGGGGAAGTAGACCTGATATATAAACCACATACATAGACTCCAGACTCCACTGTCATGTCCCCAGGGACCGTAAGAGTTTCTGAACCTGAAAGACAATGAGTATTTGTTGGATGGATATATGAGTTAGGTACGAAATAGAAAAAACGTTCTGAGTTGTGTGAGATGAACTCCTCTTGTCATACCATGAGCTGCGCTGCACTTGGGATGACACTGCACAATGTGAGATTATCAGCCCTTGTTTGTAGGTTACTTTCTGTCTGCGAACCACCAGCATCCCCGCTGAATTAACTACATACAGGGGCTGGGGGTAAATCTGCTTCTCATTATAATGATTTTGCTTGGCTCTGAAGTGGTCTCCAGAAAAGAAAAAAAAAAAACTTTCCAAGAAGAGTTCCTGAAGAAAAATGTTTATTTTGTCACCAAAAGAGAGGTAGCTAGCTTTGCCTGGTCATATCAGTATCTTAGAGATTGGGTTATTCATGTGTTTCACAGATATGTATTGTATCATAGGCAGAAGATTTAGGAACTGAGATCAAATCTGACAGTGATCACCGTATCAGATATTCTTAGATATATTATTCCAGAATATAGATGTTTTTGTTATGTGTTTAATAATATTAACAGCACTAAAATAATACTAGGTAATATTTAGTGACTGTACTATACTAATAAGCACATTGTGTTGTTATCTTCACAACAACATATGAGCTAGTTACTTGTATATTCCCTATTTATAATTAAGAGTCAGAATGCTGGAGAGGTTTGCCCAAGATCACATTCTTAACATTTAAGTTACCCTGTCTAGCCTTATTGTTCTATTACATCACTGTTGTTTGAGTAAAGCATTAGATTGGAATTTTCTAGAATATCCTGTGACCTGTGTTTTCTTTCTTGAAAAATGACTTTTTTGCACTGATCCCTGATAGTTTGCTTATTACATTATTTGAGAGACTTTCTCTCAATTTTTGCTCTGCAGTGACCTTGGGGAGTATTTGCTTATACAGATGGTCTGCACCTATCTGGTTCAACTTATGATTTTTTGACTTTACAATGGTGCAAAAGTGATACACGGTCAGTGGCAGCCCTGCTTTGAATTTTGAGTCATGGTCTTTTCCTGTGCTGGCAATGTGTGCTGTGACCCTCTCTTGTAATACTGGGCAGTAGCCAAGAGCACAGCTGCCCGTCAGCTACAGTCATGAGCATAAATAACCAGCAGTCTACAGTGTGCTATGTTGCCAGCATTTTTGGGATACAGGGATTCAATAAACTATATGAAATACCCAACACTTTGTCACAAATCAGACTTAGTGCTAGATGATTTTGCCCAACAATAGGGTAATGTCAGTGTTCTGAGCCCATTCATGATAAGCGAGGCTAAGCCATGGTGTTTGGTTGGGATAGGTGTATTTAATGCATTTTCAGCTTTATGTTTTCAGCTTGAGATGGGTTTTTCTGGACATGACTCCATTGTGAGTCAGGAAGCATGTGTATTTAGTACTTCATGTGTTCTGAATGCCCACCTGCCAACTTTCGTTGTAGGTTTTTTGAAATGGTGAACACCATCACTGAGGAGAAGGGGAGAGGTGCAGAGGAAGGGGACTGTGAAGGTGACTCTCTGGAGGTAATGACTTCTGTTAACACTGTTTCTGTGCAAATGGTTTTGTCATTTACTAGTTAAAGCCTAGCCCAGGGAAGGGGTGGTTGGATTCATAGGGGTGGAGGGCTTAGCCAGAGTCTGTAAGTTTTCCCTTCATGTTTCAAGCAACTTTCTGGAATCCCTTTGGTTACAAAGGGCTAGAAAGGAAACACTGGCAAAATCTTGTTTAAGAGTACTGAGTTTTCACATGTCAGTAGGTAACTGCATTTTATCTGTGAGGGTGTTGCTCCCCCTACCTTCATGGGCCTACATGCCCTTAACACATTTTCTGTTCTCTGTGAGATGTCTGCAGTTCACACACATACACACACGTGCACACACAATTCAGTGAAGACTGTGGATGATAGAACCCTTTGCAGTCCTCACTAATACGCTACACAGAGAACTTGAAACTATGGAAGATTAATAGACCAAAGAGAGCAGGCTCTAACAGTCACCCAAGATGTTGTTCCTCTCTGTTGGAATCCTCTTACTTATGCCTAATGGGCTCAGTGCACTTAGGGACCTTCTGTTTAGTTTGCACCATTTTCTCTGCTGTGTCTGCTGTGTGAAGAAGAGCCTTCCACTGCTGCAAGAAGCAGTGTGTGTAGAGTGATTTTAGAGGGCTACCTTGTCACCTTGTCACTCTGGCGTTACAGCATTGAAATGATGATACTTATCCAGGTGCCTCAGTAGGCCACTGTTTTTCTTTTTCTCTCTCTCTTTTTTTTTAGATGTATTTATTTGAGAGGTAGAGTTACAGACAGAGCGAGGGAGACAGACAGAAAGGTCTTCTGTCTGCTGGTTCACTCCTCAAATGGCCGCAATGGCTGGAGCATGCCAATCTGAAGCCAGGAGGCAGGAGCATCTTCCAGGTCTCCCATGCAGGTGGAGGGGCCCAAACACTTGGAGCCATCTTCTTTTTTTTTTTTTCTTTTCTTTTTTTTTATTTAGTAAATATAAATTTCCAAAGTACAGTTTATGGATTACATTGGCTTCCCCCCCCCCATAACTTCCCTCCCAATCGCACCCCTCCCATCTCCCGCTCCCTCTCCCATTCCATTCACATCAAGATTCATTTTCAATTATCTTTATATACACAAGATCGATTCAGTGTATATATATATATTTTTTTTTTTTGACAGGCAGAGTGGACAGTGAGAGAGAGACAGAGAGAAAGGTCTTCCTTTTGCTGTTGGTTCACCCTCCAATGGCCGCCACGGCCGGTGCGCTGCGGCCGGCGCACCGCGCTGATCCGATGGCAGGAGCCAGGTACTTCTCCTGGTCTCCCATGGGACTTGGGCCATCCTCCACTGCACTCCCTGGCCACAGCAGAGAGCTGGCCTGGAAGAGGAGCAACCGGGACAGAATCCGGTGCCCCGACCGGGACTAGAACCCGGTGTGCCAGCAGCGCAAGGCGGAGGATTAGCCTAGTGAGCCGCGGCGCCGGCCTATATATTTTTTTGTTTTTGACAGGCAGAGTGGACAGTGAGAGAGAGAGACAAAGAGACAGTCTTCCTTTGTCATTGGTTCACCCTCCAATGGCCGCCGCGGCCGGCGCGCTGCGGCCAGCGCACTGCGCTGATCCGATGGCAGGAGCCAGGTACTTATCCTGGTCTTCCATGGGGTGCAGGGCCCAAGCACTTGGGCCATCCTCCACTGCACGCCCTGGCCACAGCAGAGAGCTGGCCTGGAAGAGGGGCAACTGGGACAGAATCCGGCGCCCCGACCGGGACTAGAACCCGGTGTGCCGGCGCTGCAAGGTGGAGGATTAGCCTAGTGAGCTGCGGCGCCGGCCTTCAGTATATATTAAATAAAGATTTTATCAGTTTGCACCCAGACAGAAACAAAGTGTAAAAATACTGTTTCAATACTAGTTATAGCATTACTTCACATTGGATAACACATTAAGGACAGATCCCACATGAGAAGTAAGTACACAATGACTCCTGTTGTTAACTTAACAATTTGGCACTCTTGTTTATGGCGTCAGTAATCTCCCTAGGCTCTAGTCATGAGTTGCCAAGGCTATGGAAGCCTTTTGGGTTCGCCGACTTCGATCTTATTCCGACAGGGTCATAGTCAAAGTGGAAGTTCTCTCCTCCCTTCAGAGAAAGGTACCTTGGAGCCATCTTCTACTGCTTTCCCAGGCCATAGCAGAGAGCTGGATTGGAAGTGGAATAGCTGAGACTTGAACCAGCACCCATATGGGATGCTGGCACTGCAGACAGAGGCTTAACCCACTACGCCATAGCACTGGCCCCTAGGCCACCATTTTCTCTAAGCCCTCCCAGGACTTGGAACAGAGCTCTAAATCCAAGTGTCTCAGTCTTTTCAGGCTGCTATAACAAAAATACCAACTGTGTGGGTTACAAACAACAGAAGTCCTGTTACTAACAGTCCTAGAGGCTGGGAAGGCCAAGATCAAGGTGTCAGCACTTTCAGAGGGTCTGTTCCTCCTGACACCTTCTTGCTGCATCCTCAACACTGCAGAAGGAATGAGCTGCTTTATCTAGGCCGCTGCTGTCACTCATGAGGGCAGAGCCCTGATCACCTCTCCAAAGGCCGTACCTGCTAACACCATCACCATGGGGGTGGGGAGTACAACATATGAGTGTTGTGAGGACATCGATATTCAGTCTACAGCAGCAAGCAATACTGAAAAGTGTGTGCTTAATGCTAAAGTTAAGGGAAGATACTATAGATCATAAACCTGACTGATATTTATTAGATTACTTCAAGAATGTCATCTCACACACTAAAATTTTTGGAAGTAGATTGAATCAGGAGAAAATTCAACAATAATAACCAGTTGTCAATTCTATCTGGAATTGTCATATAATTATCCAGGAACTGTGTACCTTTGTAATGCTAAAGCTCTTTCATTAAAGTTTGCAAAAAGGATAGACCTGATCTGGAGGAAATTGCATTAGCTTACTGTCCATAGAAGGAAGAGCAAATACTTATTTGTATATGTTTTGTATTTTATAATGTATTTTCTTATTTAAGTGATTGTGTTAGAAACTTGATCTCTTGACTCCCACTTCAATGATCTTCTGACTGTACCTCGGTGTCTGTTTTTATTTCTGTTAAATTTAGTATCACTTGATCCACAGCAGTTTGCAGTGTAAAACTTAAAGGTAGTGAGCATGAAATCGTTCTATCAGTAATATAAAATTATGAAGGAAGAGTTAGATCGGAAAATCCATAAAATCTTGAAATATTGTGAATTGCTGATTTTTTAAACCAGTAATACCTAGCCTTCATTTCATTTCCTTTTTTGAAAACCAAAATGCATTTTACCAAATATATATATAGCATAGCCTGGCTAAAAATGTTTGTGGAAAGTGAAATTGAGAGGTGTTTATTTTGGTGCAAAAAATGTAAAATTCATCCATAGTTTTTTTCATAATACAAATTTTCCATGGAGTTTTGAAGACCTCTGGTATTAGACAAGATTGGCCTTCGTAACAGGTTGTATCAACAGGTGAAGGGCCCTGCTCTAAAACTGTTTGAGCTGTGTGATAGCATAAGACAGCATTCATGGCCTTACAATTTGTGGTGCATTTGTCCAGCTGATTGTTCTCAATCTCAGTCTCTCGTAATGTAAAGGGAGAGATTAATCACTTTCAAAGAGCTATCAAGAGGATCCAGGATCAATATCCTCTATCTGCATATGACAGTATGTAGGCTGGGCTTGGGGAAAGACCCCTCTTGATTAGGCAGTGCCATAACAAGTACTATGAGTATGTTCACCAACTAAATAAGGAGAAAATGCTGGGAGTTTTGCCTAAGATTGTCCAGAGGGTTTTAGTAAATCTGCTGACCTCAGAAAAACAGCTCCTAAAATACTGCTAATTCATCAGAGTGCTCTGTACTTGTCCCGTTTAAGTACATGCAGGGATACTATTCTATTAATGTGAAAACATTATTTGACTTTTATTCTTTGATTTCATCAGAATAATTGAAACTCTGACCCAGAGTGGCTTCTACGGCATTTGCAGTGGACTTCTTAATGTATCTGAAGAACTCAAATATACTCATTTTACAAATTGTGGCTTACTTCGCCAATGAGCTGTGGGTGTTCTGTTAGCACAACATAAATGAGTGGTCTCAGTGAAGTTCTGGCTGGAGCGTGGTGCTCTGCATCGTGGCTGTCCCTCTCTCTCGCTGAGTGTCGTTTTGTAGCCAAAGCTCCTTTACAATATGAGTTAGTAAGCTTTAGCTTACATCTTTTTGCACAGTTAAGGATAATTTCCCCCATTATATGTTTAATTACATTTCCTAGATACTGTCAACATTGTCAAGTGAAGCTATTTTAGCAGCACTCCAAGTACTTGATTGCAGTGAATTCTTTGATGTCATTACCATGCACTGAACTCAAATTTCAGCCCATGATTGGCGTATCAAAAGTAATTCCTCTACTTCTCAAACTCCCACAGCATAAACAAAAATTGCTTTAGAGAGCATCTGCACAGTGTTTCTGATCTTTACCTCAATTGAAGATAGAATTATAATTGTTTCAATACATGTGTCAATTATTCTTGAAGCCTTGGGAACCTTGGCCCAAAACAAAATAAAAATGCTAAGAAGATCAGATGATCAGGAAATGCTCCTTGATATTTTTAACTTCACTTAGGTTAGTATGTGGCAAACATTAACTATTAATGTGGTTCTGTAAACTACAGGTTTGAAGCTAAACCCTATTCCTAGTGTCTGAAAAACTCAGAAGCACAAGTTAGCAGCTGATTTCCTTTCTGATTTGAATCATGCGCTGTCTTCTAAGCAGTACTGTTGACAGATTCAGCCTCCTTGGGTCATGAGCAGACCCTATCTGAGCTGATGGAGTTTGAATCTGCTGAGATCTCCAAGTGGAATCTGGAGCCCTGGGTCTGGTCCTAACTTTGCCATCAGTTTGCAGCTTCAGACAGAGTTCATATTCCCACTGGGCTCAGATGATTTCATAAATTAGAGTGAAACGAGAA